CCTGAGACCTCTCCCCAAATTATGGCGGGGGGGGGAAAAGCCCCAAAAATCACCGCGGTAGGGAGTGAGACCCCCCCCCAAAATAACCTCAGGGCAGTGACACCCCCACCCAAATCATGGCATCGGCGAGACCCCCTCGGACCCCCCCCAAAATCCTGAGGCTCCCCAAAACCCTGAGACCCTCCCAAAAACCCGAGACTCCCCCAAAACCCGGAGAACCCCACCCAAAACCCGAGACCCCTCAAAACCGTGAGACACCCCCAAAACCCTGGGATCCCCCAAAACTCCGAGACCTCCCGAAAACCCCCAAGACCCCCACCACCACCAGAGTGGGAGAGACCCCCGGGACCCCCCAAAATTCATTCCCGGGGGTCGCGGGAACCCCTGATTCCCACCCGGATCCCCCCACCCCCCTCCCGGTACCAACCCACCGCCCCCGGTGCCCTCACGGTTCCTCTCCATCCCCCTCCCCCCCCACCCCGGTGCCCCACCCGGATCTGCCTCCGGTACCGCCCCCCCCCCTCACCGTGTCCGCGTTGCGCTCGTTCCCCGCCGCCAGGGCGGAGCGCGAGGACATGGTCCCGGCGCGGGGGGCACCGGGGGGCACCGGCAGGGGCGCTCCCGTTGCCGGGGGAGTCCCGTTGCCGGGGGGGTTCCGTTACCGGGGGGGGCGGAGGGGCCGGGCCGGGGCGGCCATGGCGGCCATGGCGCCGGAACCGGAAGCGGGGCGCGCCGGGGGCGGGGCCTTGCCCAAAAGAGGAGCGCGGCTGTGGGGACCGGCCACGCCCACGACGCGGAGCGGACCAATCAGAAGGCGCCGCCCGGGCATGGAGACAGCTGGGCGCGCCCATGGGAGGGGGCGGGGCCGAGAGCAGGAGGCGCATTCTGATTGGCCGAGCTCTGGCCAATGGGAGCAGGGAGCGCTGTTTAACCCGTGAATGGCCGGTGACGGATCACGTGGGACGCGGGGGTCACGTGGGAGGGAGCGTGGGTCACCTGTGTCACCTGCGGGGTCACCTGTGTCACACCTGGGGTCTCCAGTGTCACCTGTGGGGTCCCTCAGTGTCCCCAGAGTCCCATCCCAGTGTCCCCAGTATCCGGGATCGGGACCGGGGACCGGGACCGGGGACCGGGATCGGGATGGGGGACTGGGATCGGGGACTGGGACCGGGATCGGGATCGGGATCGGGGACCGGGATCGGGGACTGGGGGATCCCAGTGTCCCCAGAGTCCCATCCCAGTGTCCCCAGTTCCCCCCGGTCCCATCCCAGTGTCCCCCAGTATCCCCCAGTGTCCCCAGTGCTCCCCAGTGTCCCTCCGGTGCCACCCCAGTGTCCCCCAGTGTCCCATCCCGGTGTCCCCCCGGTCCCCCCCTCCCGGTCCCGGTGCCCGAGCGGAACCGGGGCTGACCCTGCCCGGCCGGGGAGGCCCCTCCGGGGCGGCGCTTCCTCAGGAAACCCCCGGCCAGCGCCACCAGCGCCAGCGCCAGTGTCACCAGTGTCACCAGTAGCACCAACAGTGTCACCAGCACCGCCGCCAGTGTCACCAGTGCAGCCACCAGCACCGCCACCAGCACCGCCACCAGCACCGCCACCAGCACCGCCAGCAGTGTCACCGCAGCCGCCACCAGCACCGCCACCAGTGTCACCGCAGCCGCCGCCAGTGCCACCAGCACCACCAGTGTCGCCGGTGTCATCGCAGCCACCACCAGTGCCACCTGTGTGACCGCAGCTACCGGTGCCACCAGTGCCACCAGCACCGCCGGTGTCGCCGGTGCCGCCGCCGCGGCGGTCCCGGGGGACTCCGGGCGCCCTCCTGTCGCGTCCCCGCCGCGTCCCCTCGCTCTCCGGGTGACATCCCGGTGTCCCCTCTCCCCCCGGGCGACATCCCGCTGTCCCCTCGCCCCCCGCGCCCCCCGGTGCCCCCCCGGCCATGCCGCTGCTGCGGAGACCCCCGGGGGGGGCACAGGAGGACGGGGACCCGTTCGCCACCAACCCCGAGAGTCGCCGGCGGCGCCGCGCCACCCTTGGGGGGCTGGTGGGGCTGGGGGGACAGCTGGGGGGACACCTGGGACAGCTGGGGGGACACCTGGGACAGCTGGGGGGGCCCTTCGGCCGCGCCCGCCGCCCCCGGGACCCCGCGGGGCCCCGCGGCCGCCGCCGCTCCGAGGACTCGGGGGTCTCGCGGCGACCCCCGGAGGAGGCGGGCGGGGGCAAGCGGGGGTCGCTGCTGCGGCTGGCGCTGGGGACGTGGGGACAGCGGGGGACAGAGAAGGTGTCGCCGGTGGAGGGACAGGCGGGGGACAGCGCGGACGGAGCGGGACAGCGGGCGGAGAGCGGCGGGAGGGACAAGGACAGGGACAGGGAGCCGCTGTCGGGTGAGTGGGGACGGCGGGGACGGGGACACCGAGGGGACACCGAGGGGACACCGAGGGGACTTGGGGACATGAGGACGTGGGGGCCTGGGGATGGTGACAGAGCCACGGGGACACGGGGACACGGGGATGGCGCCTTTGGGAGGTGGGACGTGGGATGGGGACGGGGACAGGGATGGGGACGTGTGGCCACAGGGACACGGGAGTGGCGACTTGGGCACGTGGGATGGAGATGGGGGCTGGGGACAGACACAAGGACCGCGGGGACACGGGGGACACGGAGCCCGGGTGTCCCCCCCGAGCCCAGGTGTCCCCCGCGCTGTCCCCGCAGTGCTGGAGATCCTGGAGCTGATCCAGCGCCGGGACTTGGTAGCCGCGGACGCTCAGATCATCGCCCTGGAGGCCGAGTGCGCTCAGTCGCCATCGCGGCCACCATCCCCGTGTCCCCCCGGGTCCCCCTCCGCGGGGTCCCCGCCGCCCTCTCCGGTCCCCTCGGGCGGGCGGCGAGCCCGGGACGTGGCTCTGCTGTACCGGGCGCTGCTGGCCCAGCTCTGGGCCGTGGTGGCCGAGGCGGTGGCCGCGGGGCGAGCGGTGGCCCCGCTGCGAGCCGTGGTGGCCGTGCTGGAGCAGGAGGAGGCGGCGGACGCGCGGAGCCCCCCCGGGACCCACCCGGGGCGGCCGCGGGGGCTGCGGCGCCGCTGGCACGAGGCGGTGGCCAAGGCGGCGAGCGAGCGGCTGGCCCAGGTGGCCCCGGCGGGCGGGCTGGGAGCCCGGCTGGCCGCGCTGGCCGCGAGGGTCGTGGGCGACCTGGGGGTCGTGCGGAGCCACGTGGCCCCCGCGTACCCCCCCGAGTACGGCGCGCTCGGGGTTTATGCCCGTGGCTACCACCGGGCGCTGGCCCAGCAGCTGCGGGCGCTGGCCCAGAGACCCCTGGACGTGCCCGACCTGTACCTGCTGCTGGACTGGCACAGCAACGCCTACCCCAGGTGAGATACCTGCGCCACCCCCAAAACCTGGGGTGACACCAGCACGGGGGGGTGGCACCCCCGGGACACACCTGGGACACCCAGGAGACACCTGTGGGACTCTCCCAGAGCCGTGGGATCCCCACCGGGCACCCCGGGGTGTCGCCAGGGTGTCCCCAGGTGTCCCCAAACACCCACCGGGGCTGTTCCCCCCAGGGAGGTTTTGGGGCACCCCGAGGTGGGGGCTCTGCTGAGGGCGCAGGAATTGGGGCCCCTCCTGCCCCCCGAGACCCAGCGCGACCTCGAGAGCTCCTGCATCGCTGCCGTCAAGGTGGGGACACGGGGACAGCGGGGACAGTGGGGTGGGGACAGGGGGGACAGCGGGGTGGGGAAACTGTGGGCGCTGCGGTGGCACCGGTGACACCGCGATGGGCGCACCTCGGGCCATGGTGGCACCGGGAGGGGCATCAGGACAGTCCCAGAGGTGGCAGGGGGTGGCAGGGGACTCTGTGCCCTGCCGTCGCCACCCCCGATGTCCCCACCGCCGCTGTCCCCGCTGTCCCAGGCCAAGCTGGAGGTGGCCGTGGCGCAGGAGCTGCAGCTCAGCGAGGACTCGTGGCCCGAGGATGTCACCAGCCAGGACATGGAGGAGGGGCTGGCCACGCGTGTCACGGGGGTACGGCCACGCCACGCCCGGAGCCTGGCCCTGCACCCCGGGGGGGGCCCTGGGGACCGCGGCAGTGGCCCTGTCCCCACACCCACGGTGGCTCTGTCCCCACAGCTCCTGCGGGCCCACGTGGACCGAGCCCCCCAGGTGACCCCCGAGTTCGGGCGGGAGATGGCGCACAGCCTGCTGGGAGTGCTGGTGGCGTTCCTGCACAGGTGGGGACACGGGGACACCGTGGGGACATGGGGAGGGGGGGGGGACATGGGGACACCAGGATGTGACACAGCACGGGGCCAGGCGGGTGCAGGGACAGGGGACGCAAGGACGTGGGGACACAGGGACACCTGGGGCACAGGTGGGGCGGCACAGGAGCGGTGTCCTCCGCCCCCCCTGCCCCCCGGGTGCCACCGCGGTGACGCCGCCGTGTCCCCAGCTTCCAGCGCAAGGTCGAGCGGTTCCTGGAAGCCCCCGGCGACCTCCCCCCCCCCGACGGCTCCCCCGGCCGCGCCATCGCCTTGGCCAACTGCTGCCCCCCCTTCAGGTGAGGCCACCACCATGTCCCTGACGCCCCCCCGGTGTCCCCACGATGTCCCCGCGATGTCGCTGACCCCCCTGTCCCCGGGCAGGGCGTTCGCCGAGCGCCTGGCGCAGTTCGGGCACCCCGAGAGCGAGGAGCCGCGGCGCCAGGCTCAGGCCGCGCTGGACCGGGTCACCCGCGCCTGCGGCCACGTCCTCACCCGGCGCCTCCTCGAGGACCTCAAGGTGTCCCCAGGGCGGGGGGGGGCACGGCCAGGGGGGTGGCGGGGACCTGGGGGGGTGCGGGGTGGGTGACACCTGCTGGGTGACACCTGCTGGGTGACACCTGTAGGATGTGGTGGCTGTTACTCGGCGCAGTCACTCGGTGCCACCACCCGGGTGCCACCACCCAGGTGCCACCTGACGTCCCTGCGTGTCCCCCCAGCCGTATTTTGGGAAGCTGATGAAGAGGAAGTGGCTGACGAGCTCGGACGCCTTCGACTCCATCGTGATGCTCGTGACCGGGTTCGCACAAACCCTGCGGCCGCTGCACCCCGAGCCCCACCAGGTGTGCGGGACCTGGCTGTGCCCTGGGGGGACACCTGGGGACACCTATGGGACACGGTGCCATCGTTGGTGACGCTCTGGGTGACGCCGTGAGCACGGCGCCGTTGTTGGTGACACAATGCCGTCACCGGTGGCACTGCGGTGACACCGTGGTGGCACTGCGGTGACACCTGTCCCCTGCAGGTGCTGGTCAGCGAGCTGCACCGCCGCGTCCTCATCGAGTACGTGCGGCCGCTGCTGCAGGGGCGCCTCCTCTGCGCCTCGGCCAAGGCGCGCGCCCGCGTGGCCGCCAGGCTGGGCGACGAGGCCCGGCAGCTGCGAGAGCTCTTCACGCGCCTGGTGAGACCCCCGAGACCCCCCGAGACCCCCCCGAGAGCCCCCAGACCCCCCAAACCCTCCTGACACCCCCTGCGAGCCCCTGGGAGACCCCAAGACACCCAAAACCTGCCGAGAGACCTCGAGACCCCCATGGACGCGCTGTCCCCCAGTGTCACCTATTCCTGGGCCGGGTGACACCACAATGTCCCCAGTGTCACCTACTATTGCTCTGGGTGACCCCCATGGACCCCCTATGTCCGCGATGTCCTCAATGTCCCCGATGTCCCCCAATGTCCCCGATGTCCCCAATGTCCCCAGTGTCCCCCAATGTCCTCGGTGTCCCCCAGGACTCGGCCTCGCCCTGGCTGGACTCGGTGGTGCCGCGGCTGCGGGAGCTGCTGGTGCTGGAGGACACGGCCGCGCTGCAGATGGAGGTCGGAGCCCTGGCCCGGGACTTCCCCGATGTCCGGTGGGTGCGGGGACACCGGGGGGTGGCAGCGGGGTGACACGGGTGGGTGGGACACGGCTGGGGTGACACAAGCGTGGGTGACACCGTGGGAGCCTCGCTGGGCTGACACGGCCGGGTGGGACGCTCTGGTAGCCACGGGCAGGACGCGGCGAGCCCGCGGGGACCGGACGTGGCCTCCGGGCCCTTCCCGGCAGCTCCCGCCCCGCTCGTCCCGCCGGGAAGCGGCCGCGGCCTCGAGCCAGGTCCCCTCCCCTGTCCCCTCCCCTGTCCCTGTCCCCGGCCCGGTCCCGGGGGACCGGTGGCACGCGCGGCCACCCGGGGGGGAGGGGACACCAGTTAAACCGGGCGAGGGGGAGCTGGGACCACCCTGGAGCTGGGTGCGCCCCAAAATCCGCCCCCAGGGGTCGGGGGACGGGGGGGGAGTTTTGTCCTCGCTGCCCCCCCCCCCCCCTTGTCCCCCCCTGTCCCCTCTGTCCCCACAGACGAAGACACGTGGCCGCGCTCCTGGACGCGCGGGGGCTGCGGGCTCAGGGCCCCCGCCGGGAGATCCTGGGGGTGCTGCAGGACCTGGGGGGTTCGGAGGCCGAACCGGGGCTCCCCCGGTCCCGAACGTTCTTCTCGGAGCTGCCGGCGCCGCGCCCCGTGCGCTGCCTCCCGTTCCACCTGCCCCGGCTGCGCCTCCCCCGCCGCAGCCCCGCCAGGACCCCCCCGTGACACCCCCGAGGGGCTGGGGACACCCCCGAGGGGCTGGGGACACCCCCGAGGGGCTGGGGACACCCCCGAGTTCGGGTTTGTCCCCTCCCGGGGTTTGGGACACCCCAAATCTGGGCCTGTTCCCCCTTGTGTAAAAATGACGCTGTAAATTTACGGCAAAGCCTCGTCCTTGGGGACACGGGGACTTTGGGGACACGGGGACTTTGGGGACATCCGGGTCCGTCCCAGGATGGCCACACTGGAGTGGCAAGTGAGGAAAGGGCCACCAGTGGCACGCCGGGGAAGCCACCACCCGCTGGGGACAAGGGGACACAGGGGGGGACACGGTGGGGACACGGGGGTGACCAGGCGACACTGGAGTCCCTTCCCGGGGGCCGCTGGGGGGTTGGGGACAGGGTTGGGGACACCGAGGCCACCCCCGCGAGCCCGGCCCGGCCCGGGGGGGCCCTGGGTGGGTCCCGGGTCAGAAATAGTCGGGATCCGGCCAGGAAGAGGCGACAGCTAAAAATAGGTGACAAATAAGTGACAAATAAGTGACCGCGGCGGGAGCGGGGCCAGGGGTCACCGTGTCACCCCCGGGGCCGGGAAGGGACCGGCGGCGGCGGAAGCGACAGCGCTGGGCGGGGACCGGGGGGCGCCGGGACCGGGGACGGGGGGACCCCGGGGCGAGGAGGGGGCGCGGGACAGCGCGGGGACATTTGGGAAGGGGGTGGCACCGTGTGGGGACACTTAGGGACAGGGGTGGCACCGCGTGACAGGAACAGAGACCCGAGGGGTCCCCGCTGTCGCGGGGGGGGCACAGGGGGGTGACAGTGGCGGTGCCACCCCCGGTGAATCACCGGGATCCGGACGTCAAGGAGAGGGGAAGGGGGAGGAAGGAAACCCCCCCCCAAAAAAAAAGGGAGGAGTGGGGGGGTCGGGGGGAGCCCCCAGAGCTGGCACGGCTCCCCCAGCGCCGCAGGGACCCTCAAACTGGGAGAGAACTCCCCAAACTGGGAAAGGATTCCCCAAACTGGGCAGGGCCCCCTCAAACTGGGCAAGAATTCCCCAAATTGGGAAAGGATTCCCCAAACTGGGCAGGTGGGCAGGGACCTCCCAAACTGGGAAAGGGCTCCCTAAACTGGGAGAGAACCCACACCAGACTGGGAGAGGACTCCCCAGATTGGGAAAGGATTCCCCAAACTGGTCGAGCACCCCCAAACTGGTCGAGCCCCCCCAAACTGGTCGAGCCCCCCCAGTTTCTGGCCCCGCGCTCCCCCTGCCGGTCGCCGCCGGAACTGCGGGCGGGGAGGGGGGCGTGGCTTGAGCAGGGCGTGGTTTCGGCCCCACCCATTTCCCCGATGATTGACAGCTGTGTGGGACAGCGGTGTCCCCGTGTCCCATCCCCCAACCCCCCCCCCGGTGTCCCCCCCACCCCAAAAAACGCCACGGGAGCCGCGGGGCCGCTGGAAGCTGCTTTTATTGGCCACGTTTGGGGCGGGGCGAGCGCGGACGGGGGGCCCGGGGCCACCCCCGGGCAGGCACGAACACGGCACAGGGCGACAATAATTATCCTCGTTATAATAATAATAAAAAATTAAACATCTCCCGCGCAACAAAAATAGATTTATATACCGGGGGGTGGGGGAGGGGAAAGGGGGGCGGAGCCAAGGCCGGCGAAGCTCAAGGGGAAAGGCGGGGACAGGCGGGCGAGGGGCGAGCAGGACGGGAGCCCACCTGGAGGGGCCACCTGGAGGGGCCACCTGGAGGGGCCACCTGGAGGGGCCACCCTGGGACGGGGACACGGCGGTCCCGGAGGTGACAGAGGTGACCCGAAGGGGTCACCTGGAGGCCCAGGGGGGACACGGAGGTGACCAAGTGGCACCTCTGAGCTGGGGGAGACCCCGCAGGGACACCTGGAGCGGGGGGTGGGGCCCGTGGGGGACACGGGATGTCCCCAGCGGGACAGAAATGACACAGGGACCTTCTGGGAGGGGACAGGGACGCGGTGGTGGCTTCTCCAAAAGGGGTGGAGATGGCACCGGGACCCTCCAGGGGGACCGCGATTGGGCACAGGGGGGTTGGGGACACCTGAGGTGTCGCCAGGTGCCACCAGGACCGGGCTGGGACATGTCCAAAGGGACGGAGACGCGGCAGGAACCCCCCTGGATCGGGGACTGCCACCTGCAAGGCGACAGGGACACCACGGACACCTTCTCCAGGTGCTGGGAATGGCACAGGGACGTCACCAAAGGGACGGAGACGCCGCCAAAATCCCACAGGATGGCGGGGATGGAGGGCAGGGACCTCCAGAGGTGACGGAGAGGACAAAAACTCCTTCCCTGGGGAATGGAGGTGGGGCAGGGACACCTCCAGAGGGGCGCAGGACCCCTGAAATGAGGGGGGGACACGCCTGAGGTGACCCAGAACCTTCTCTGGGCGCCGGGGACAGGACAGGGACATCTCCAGACGGGCGGAGACGTCGGGTGAACCCCCTGAAATGAGGGGGGGACACCTCTGAGGTGACCCAGAGCCTTCTCTGGGCGGTGGGGACAGGACAGGGACATCTCCAGAGGGACAGAAATCCTGGATGAAGCCCCCACGAGGGGACAAGGACCGGGAGCAGACACCTCCCAACAGCCGCGGGGCCTCGTCACTGCCACCACCTCCAGGCGCCAAAACCCCCCCCAAAAAAAACCAAACCCTCCCAACCTCCCCCCTCCTCAAAAATCAACCCACCAGAGCTGGGAAAAAAACCAAAAAACAAAAAAAAAAACCCAAAAAAATAAAGCGGGGCGGGCAAAGCCCAACCCCGAGGCGCGGCGGGGGCAGGGAGGAGGTGGGGGCTGGCCGGGGGGGCGATGGGGACGCCCCGTTCACAACGCGAGGAGCGAGGGAGAATTCAAGGAGTCCGAGGACTGGTCGCTGCTGCTGCTCCGCTGGTGCGAGGCTCCACACGTGGCTCCCTCTGGGTGGGTGAACACAAACGCGGGGGTCGCGTTAGGGGGTCCCGCGGGGACCCCGGGCGGGAGGCAGCAGCCGGGGAAGGGACCCTGCGGGCCCTGGAACGGCGCCGGGGGCAGGAAAGCGACGGTCCCCGCCTTGCCCGGGCTGCTCACCTCGGCCGGGCCGGCGCCCACGGCGCCGATGTCCTCGAACGGGACCTTGCAGGCGGGCGCGTGGGCCACCAGCACGAACTCCAGGCGCTCCTTCTCCTTGCGCAGCTCCGCGATCTCGGACTCGAGCTCGGCCTTCTCCTCCTCCAGCTGGTCCGTCTCCTGCGGGGACAGCGCCGTCAGGCCACCGTGTCACCAAAGTGTCCCCAAAGTGGCCCTAAAGTGGCCCCAAAGTCTCCCCAAAGGGGCCCTAAAGCGGCCCCTGGTGTCGCCAAGGCTGAGCACGGCCTGTCTGTCTGTCCCCCCTGTCCGTCCTCCTGCTCCTGCAGCGCCCCTGGGTGTCCACTCGGATGTCCCCAAACTTTGGGGACATCCCTCAGGCTCCTCCAGCGTCCCTGTGTGTCCGTCTGTCCCCTCACTGTCC